GGCGTAGCGACTTATTCCGGCGCCCGGGGCAGACCACCAATTTTGCGCCCCCTCCCTCCCATTTCTATATATCGTTATTCCTGTCAGCGAAAAAGTGCTAGTTGAAAAGGTTTGTTGCGCTTCTTACCCGTTACTATACCGTAACATTTTCTATTTCAGTGCCTCAAAATGGATATAGAAAACAGTTAACACAGTGTGTAAATTTGACTGTGTATAATTCAATACTTTAGCTTAAAACGAGTTTTTAAAGTAATGTTTCTACCCCTTTTGACGCTCCCTTAGGGTCGGCGCCCGGGGCGGATGCCCCGCCCGCCCTCCACTAGTTACGCCACTGAGGATGTGACGTGTGAGAGTATGATTTGGTTGCGAGGGGAAGGAGTTGAAATCAGTCTTGGTGTTGTCGCGTGAGGGTGTGGAAGTCTTCGTCTTGTGGTGTTGGTGTGTGGATGTCTTCGTCCTGTGGTGTTGGTGTGTGGATGTCTTCGTCCTGTGGTGTTGGTGTGTGGATGTCTTCGTCCTGTGGTGTTGGTGTGTGGATGTCTTCGTCCTGTGGTGTTGGTGTGTGGATGTCTTCGTCCTGTGGTGTTGGTGTGTGGGTGTCGTGTTGTCGGTGTGTGGATGTCTTCGTCCTGTTGTGTTGGTGTGTGGATGTCTTCGTCATGTGGTGTTGGTGTGTTGGTGTGTGGATGTCTTCGTCCTGTGATGTTGGTGTGTGGATGTCTTCGTCCTGTGGTGTTGGTGTGTGGATGTCTTGGTCCTGTGGTGTTGGTGTGTTGATGTCTTCGTCCTGTGGTGTTGGTGTGTGGATGTCTTCGTCATGTGGTGTTGGTGTGTGGATGTCTTCGTCCTGTGGTGTTGGTGTGTGGATGTCTTCGTCCTGTGGTGTTGGTGTGTGGATGTCTTCGTCCTGTGATGTTGGTGTGTGGGTGTCTTCGTCCTGTGGTGTTGGCGTGTGGATGTCTTCGTCCTGTGGTGTTGGTGTGTGGATGTCTTCGTCCTGTGGTGTTGGTGTGTGGATGTCTTGGTCCTGTGGTGTTGGTGTGTTGATGTCTTCGTCCTGTGGTGTTGGTGTGTGGATGTCTTCGTCATGTGGTGTTGGTGTGTGGATGTCTTCGTCCTGTGGTGTTGGTGTGTGGATGTCTTCGTCCTGTGGTGTTGGTGTGTGGATGTCTTCGTCCTGTGATGTTGGTGTGTGGGTGTCTTCGTCCTGTGGTGTTGGTGTGTGGATGTCGTGGTGTTGGTGTGTGGATGTCTTCGTCCTGTTGTGTTGGTGTGTGGATGTCTTCGTCATGTGGTGTTGGTGTGTTGGTGTGTGGATGTCTTCGTCCTGTGATGTTGGTGTGTGGATGTCTTCGTCCTGTGGTGTTGGTGTGTGGATGTCTTCGTCCTGTGGTGTTGGTGTGTGGATGTCTTGGTCCTGTGTTGTTGGTGTGTGGATGTCTTGGTCCTGTGGTGTTGGTGTGTGGATGTCTTCGTCCTGTGGTGTTGGTGTGTGGATGTCTTCGTCCTGTGGTGTTGGTGTGTGGATGTCTTCGTCATGTGGTGCTGGTGTGTGGATGTCTTGGTCCTGTGGTGTTGGTGTGTGGATGTCTCCGTCATGTGGTGTTGGTGTGTTGGTGTGTGGATGTCTTCGTCCTGTGGTGTTGGTGTGTGGATGTCTTCGTCCTGTGGTGTTCGTGTGGGGATGTCTCCGTCATGTGGTGTTGGTGTGTTGGTGTGTGGATGTCTTCGTCCTGTGGTGTTGGTGTGTGGATGTCTTCGTCCTGTGGTGTTGGTGTGTGGATGTCTTCGTCCTGTGGTGTTGGCGTGTGGATGTCTTCGTCCTGTGGTGTTGGTGTGTGGATGTCTTGGTCCTGTGTTGTTGGTGTGTGGATGTCTTCGTCATGTGGTGTTGGTGTGTGGATGTCATGGTGTTGGTGTGTGGATGTCTTCGTCATGTGGTGTTGGTGTGTGGATGTCTTGGTCCTGTGTTGTTGGTGTGTGGATGTCTTCGTCATGTGGTGTTGGTGTGTGGATGTCTTCGTCCTGTGGTGTTGGTGTGTGGATGTCGTGGTGTTGGTGTGTGGATGTCTTCGTCCTGTTGTGTTGGTGTGTGGATGTCTTCGTCATGTGGTGTTGGTGTGTGGATGTCTTCGTCCTGTGGTGTTGGTGTGTGGATGTCGTGGTGTTGGTGTGTGGATGTCTTCGTCCTGTTGTGTTGGTGTGTGGATGTCTTCGTCATGTGGTGTTGGTGTGTTGGTGTGTAAATGTCTTCGTCCTGTGGTGTTGGTGTGTGGATGTCTTCGTCCTGCGGTGTTGGTGTGTGGATGTCTTCGACCTGTGGTGTTGGTGTGTGGATATCTTCGACCTGTGGTGTTGGTGTGTGGATGTCTTCGTCCTGTGGTGTTGGTGTGTGGATGTCTTGGTCCTGTGTTGTTGGTGTGTGGATGTCTTCGTCATGTGGTGTTGGTGTGTGGATGTCTTCGTCATGTGGTGTTGGTGTGTGGATGTCTTGGTCCTGTGTTGTTGGTGTGTGGATGTCTTCGTCATGTGGTGTTGGTGTGTGGATGTCTTCGTCATGTGGTGTTGGTGTGTGGATGTCTTCGTCCTGTGGTGTTGGTGTGTGGATGTCTTCGTCATGTGGTGTTGGTGTGTGGATGTCTTCGTCCTGTGGTGTTGGTGTGTGGATGTCTTCGTCATGTGGTGTTGGCGTGTGGATGTCTTCGTCCTGTGGTGTTGGTGTGTGGATGTCGTGGTGTTGGTGTGTGGATGTCTTCGTCCTGTTGTGTTGGTGTGTGGATGTCTCCGTCATGTGGTGTTGGTGTGTTGGTGTGTGGATGTCTTGGTCCTGTGGTGTTGGTGTGTGGATGTCTTCGTCCTGTTGTGTTGGTGTGTGGATGTCTCCGTCATGTGGTGTTGGTGTGTTGGTGTGTGGATGTCTTGGTCCTGTGGTGTTGGTGTGTGGATGTCTTCGTCCTGTGGTGTTGGTGTGTGGATGTCTTCGTCCTGTGGTGTTGGTGTGTGGATGTCTTCGTCCTGTGGTGTTGGTGTGTGGATGTCTTGGTCCTGTGGTGTTGGTATGTGGATGTCTTCGTCCTGTGGTGTTGGTGTGTGGATGTCTTCGTCCTGTGGTGTTGGTGTGTGGATGTCTTCGTCCTGTGGTGTTGGTGTGTGGATGTCTTCGTCCTGTGGTGTTGGTGTGTGGATGTCTTCGTCCTGTGGTGTTGGTGTGTGGATGTCTTCGTCCTGTGGTGTTGGTGTGTGGATGTCTTCGTCCTGTGGTGTTGGTGTGTGGATGTCTTGGTCCTGTGGTGTTGGTGTGTGGATGTCTTCGTCCTGTGGTGTTGGTGTGTGGATGTCTTCGTCCTGTGGTGTTGGTGTGTGGATGTCTTCGTCCTGTGGTGTTGGTGTGTGGATGTCTTCGTCCTGTGGTGTTGGTGTGTTGGTGTGTGGATGTCTTGGTCCTGTGGTGTTGGTGTGTGGATGTCATGGTGTTGGTGTGTGGATGTCTTCGTCATGTGGTGTTGGTGTGTTGGTGTGTGGATGTCTTGGTCCTGTGGTGTTGGTGTGTGGATGTCTTCGTCCTGTGGTGTTGGTGTGTGGATGTCTTCGTCCTGTGGTGATGGTGTGTGGATGTCTTCGTCCTGTGGTGTTGGTGTGTGGATGTCTTCGTCCTGTGGTGTTGGTGTGTGGATGTCTTCGTCCTGTGGTGTTGGTGTGTGGATGTCTTGGTCCTGTGGTGTTGGTGTGTGGATGTCTTCGTCCTGTGGTGTTGGTGTGTGGATGTCTTCGTCCTGTGGTGTTGGTGTGTGGATGTCTTCGTCCTGTGGTGTTGGTGTGTGGATGTCTTCGTCCTGTGGTGTTGGTGTGTTGGTGTGTGGATGTCTTGGTCCTGTGGTGTTGGTGTGTGGATGTCATGGTGTTGGTGTGTGGATGTCTTCGTCCTGTGGTGTTGGTGTGTTGGTGTGTGGATGTCTTGGTCCTGTGGTGTTGGTGTGTGGATGTCATGGTGTTGGTGTGTGGATGTCTTCGTCATGTGGTGTTGGTGTGTGGGTGTCTTCGTCCTGTGTTGTTGGTGTGTGGATGTCATGGTGTTGGTGTGCGGGTGTCTTCGTCATGTGGTGTTGGTGTGTGGATGTCTTGGTCCTGTGTTGTTGGTGTGTGGATGTCATGGTGTTGGTGTGTGGATGTCTTCGTCCTGTGGTGTTGGTGTGTGGATGTCTTGGTCCTGTGGTGTTGGTGTGTGGATGTCTTCGTCCTGTGGTGTTGGTGTGTGGATGTCTTCGTCCTGTGGTGTTGGTGTGTGGATGTCTTCGTCCTGTGGTGTTGGTGTGTGGATGTCTTCGTCCTGTGGTGTTGGTGTGAGAATGTCTTCGTCTATCGTCGTCGATGTAGTCGTGTCCGTTGTGTATTGAAATAGTGTAATTAAAAGATGAAATGAACAAACACCGTCTTGAGTTATAATTGCATTGGATCATCGTCTCATGCGTTCATTGTCCTTCAACCCTCTCCATATCTCACATTGTAACATTATCTATAAGGAGATAGGGAGCAATCTCCTCCCCCTCCCCTTCCTCCTCCAGCTTTCATCTGGATTTCAATAAGGTTAACTACATTCTAGAAATCACATCAATGCATTTCTGTTTGGGGGGTGGGGGGATGGAGACGGTAGTCAATGTCTAAGGCTATTTTTGTCCCCAGTCCTTGCATACAACCCTGGCTGCGCCCCTGATTCTATTTGTTTGTATTGAGCGTTGCTAATGTGACATCGTGTTGATGGAGCTGGTTTATCATCCTGCGATCAATTCTCTGTCCCCCCCCCCCTCCTTCCACATCTCCCCAGTGAGAGAGAAAAAAAAATCAAATAATTCTATTCAATTCCAACACAATCGATAGCTTTACCATAAATTTTAATTAACATTACAGAATGGTAAAAAAATGTCCATAGGCTTAATTAATATGGTGATATCTCTATACATTTTTACAATTACATGGTCATTTTTGTTTCTAGTATGCGTTAAAATAAAATATAGCAAAGAAAAAAAAATGAAAAAAAAAACAACAACAAACAACCACAATGATCTAACGTCCATTTGGAATTATTTTTCTATTTCATTGGCTCTCATCCGTCTTTAGCTGCAAGGGAATGAAAAGAACACCAAGATGTTGAAGCCTGCTCAACGACAACCAACACAATAATGCCAAAATCCATTACGTATCACAAATTTTTATCGCATCTCGATAATTCTATTTATAGAGCTGCTGAAGCGAGTGGTGTTTATAAATAGCTACTTTCGAGCCATGCACGCCGTTTAGAAACTCATACGGTAGAGAGCTCTCCGAGTTGTAGAACTCCAATCCGTCGCTTGATAGACACCGGCATTGGTCCTTAGTGGCGAACCGAACTCGAAGCCTCACCCCGTTCTTATTCTCCTCGGTCACAGTAACAACGCTCGACCCTCGACCAATGCGCTCCAAGGAATTTCCGCTGTCTGAATTCGAAGCGTTGTTCGGCGCAATGTTATCTCGTAGTCTGGACTTCGCGCACAATTTCATTTCGTACACAGGTCTCTGGTGATGGCCGACCCCACTTGAAACAGACATGCATAACCCCGGGCTTCGATAACTTGGAGAACGTCTTAGAAGTTTCTCATGATGCGGACAAAACAACTCCAACAATCCTCGTTTGATCTTGATATTAAAACAACCGTAGATTAACGGATTGAAAGCACTTTGAATAAACGTAACGGATTCTACAAAAGCCATAACCTCCGCGGGAACGTGGATTTTATAATCGCTGTAGATTCGGATTAACGTCGTCACGAAATAAGGCGTCCAGCAGACTATAAAAGTTGCTATAATCGCGAACGTCATCTTCAATGTTTTTATCTTAGCGCGGGGGAATGTGGACTTGGATCTCGTGCAGTGCGAACGTCGTAAAGAATAATTATTGTTTTGCGAGTTTTGAACAACCCGACTGGCTTTGGAAACCACGCAGACGATGCTGATGTAGCAGAAGGAGATAAGGATGATGGGGACGATAAAAACATAACAGGTTAGGAATGTGAAGTACAACATCCTCTGCCATAGAGCCGTGTAGCCTTTTGTCACGCATTGCATTGACACACGTCCACCTTTTCTTTCTTCAATTTCAACAAAAATCAACAACTGCGGGATGGCGAGAATGAAAGCCAGAATCCATGAAACAGCGATGAATTTTTTAGCCCGCGCGGTGGTGGCCCGGTATTTGAGCGGTTTGCAGATTGCCAGATATCGATCGAAACTCATGGACGTCAGTATAAAAGTTGTACTAGCCAGCGTTATACATTGAAAATACGGCAGGAGTTTACAAAGAAGAGGACCCAGAACCCATTTCCCGAAAGCCACGAATAAAATTTCCGTCGTCATTGTACAAAAACACACCGTCAGGTCTCCAATCGCGAGATGGATGATAAAAATATTCACACGGCTGTTCCGTTTCCGGTATCGGCTGCAGGTTAGCATGAGGATGATAACGGTGTTTCCGAACAACGTGAGTACCATGCTGAAAACGATGGTCGTCACGCGCTGAATGACAGCAGGCTGCCAGATTTCTTCTTCGACATCCGAGCAGTTTCCGGTGCAGTTGAACTCGTCCTCAAAGCGAGACCCCGGTGTTAGCGTGGGGTCCACGGAGTAATTATTCATGGTGTTTTCAGCAGGCGCGCCCCGGGAGGATTAACTCGACGCCCCGGCGTTGATCGGCAGACGACACGTTCAAGCACTCGATGACGCAGACGATAAAAAGACATCTGTTTGTTCGTGGAAATTTGCCTTGATCCGGGTTGTTTGGGCGATAAATTATGAATTCACCGACCATTGTTTGAAGCGTTGTTGAATGTAAATAAACGACAGGGGTTTGTTGTTGGTCGTGTCTGAAATACAAAATAATAAAATAAATTTGTTGTCAAAAATTTTATACAAGTAATCTGTATTTCAGTTATATCGTACAAATATATACACGTTGTATGGAATGGCGTGGTGTAGAAGTGGAGTTCTAGAATTCGAATCCGGGTTATTGTCAGTAGACCTTCCCTGAGTCCACCCAGCTCTGATGGGTACCTAACTTACTTTATTTAACGTAAAGACGGCTGAACATAGTGCTGACCACACTATCCCTTCATATGCCGAGGTCACAGTAGCAAGGACCTTCAGGTTCGAAAAGGGAACTTTATTTTGTATTTAAGATATATGCTACAATCCTTTTATATTCTAGCATCACGCTTTTGTATAATTATTAACGCACTAAAGTATTTAAGATATATGGTACAATCCTTTTTTTTATTTTAGCATCAAGCTTTTGTATAATTAATAACGCACTAAAGTAGAAAATAAATAAGTTTCTTTAAATATCTAATGTACAACTATTTAATAACTATAAATAACAACGCGGTTCAATATACTATCCATTGAATACCTTCATTAAAATTCAAGAAGAAAAGCTTGTTATTAAAACGATTTTTAAGTACTTACATTTTTTAGTACTTTTCCTTAATACTTCTTATTAGTTTAGTAATTTTAACGACCTTTAATTAACTTATAAATCCGGCATTTATACGTACATGGTATAATTTTGAAACGATCTTCCTCTTTTTTATTGAGCTAATTAATTTTCTAACTCATTAATTTCTCAACCATCTCCAGGCAATAACGTATCATTTTTACCACAAGATGCCGTCGGCCAATTTTTGGATTTCCTCCCCCCTCCACCCCTTCTCAATTCAGTTTTCCACATATTCACGGAGAAGAAAATTATCGGTTATTTTTTTATATTAAATTATTACCCGCTTAGACAGGATCATTCGCAGTTAAACTGTCTGAAAGATGGCCTTATTTTTTGGCCAAGTTGAGCCACGGCCGTTTATATGGCCAAGTTGAGACATGAACCTATATTTGGCCAAGTTGAGATATAGCTGTATATTTGGCCAAGTTGAGATATAGCTGTATATTTGGCCAAGATGAGACATGACCCTATATTTGGCCAAGTTGAGACATTGCCTATATTTGGCCAAGCTATGACATGACCCTATATTTGGCCAAGTTGAGACACGACCCTATATTTGGCCAAGTTGAGACATGATCCTATATTTGGCCAAGTTAAGACATGACCCTATATTTGGCCAAGTTGAGACGTCACACTATATTTGGCCAAGTACAAACATGACCCTATATTTGGCCAAGTTGAGACATGGCCTATATTTGGCCAAGTTGAGACATGACCCTATATTTGGCCAAGTTGAGACGTGACCCTATATTTGGCCAAGTTGAGACATGGCCTATATTTGGCCAAGTTGAGACAGCCTATATTTGGCCAAGTTGAGACACGACCTATATTTGGCCAAGGTGAGACATGATCCTATATTTGGCCAAGTTGAGACACGACCTATATTTGGACAAGTTGAGACATGACCCTATATTTGGACAAGTTGAGACAAGACCCTATATTTGGCCAAGTTGAGACATGGTTTATATTTGGCCAAGTTGAGACATGGCCTATATTTGGCCAAGTTGAGACATGGCCTATATTTGGCCAATGAAAGACAGCGTATTACATCTAAGTAATGACATGGCCGTATATATGGCCATCTAAAGACATGGTTATAGCTGTAAGTCATAAATATGGCCCTTGTTCTAGTCATACAGAGACATGGCCATAGAGTTGGCCAACTAGAAACATGGCCGTAGTGTTGGCAAAGTAGGGATATGACCGTACTTTGGCTATAAATACATACATGGTCGTAGTATCGGTCATACATAGGCATGAACCATCATTTAGCCAAATAGCAACTAGTCCATATGGCAGTGCTCACTTAGACCATAAGATTGACCCAATACAAGACATCCGAGCGTTGGCCAAATTTAAGGGATGGCCAACACCCATAGCTTTGGACAAAAACTAGACCAACTTAGGGGTCTTTAGCTTACCAATCTTCAACCTAACACCCATAGCTTTAGCCAAATACTAGATTTACTTAGCGCCTCTTCAACCGACACCCATAGATTTGGACAAAAACTAGACCTACTTAGCGCTCCTTCAACCGACACCCATAGATTTGGACAAAAACTAGACCTACGTAGCACCCCTTCAACCGACACCCATAGCTTTAGCCAAATACTAGATTTACTTAGCGCCCTTCAACCGACACCCATAGCTTTGGACAAAAACTAGACCAACTTAGCGCCCCTTCAACCGACATCCATAGCTTTATCCAAAAACTAGACCTACTTAAAGCCCCTTTATCCGACACCCATAGCTTTATCCAAAAACTAGACCTACTTAGCGCCCCTTTAGCCGACACCCCACCCATAGCTTTGGGACAAAAACTAGACCTACTTAGCGCCCCTTTAGCCGACACCCATAGCTTTGGACAAAAACTAGACCTACTTAGCGCCCCTTTAGCCGACACCCATAGCTTTATCCAAAAACTAGACCTACTTAGCGCCCCTTCAACCGACACCCATAGCTTTGGACAAAAACTAGACCAACATATCTTCCCCTAGCGTACAAATCTTCAACAAGACACCATAACGTTAGCCAGAAGCTAGAAAATGTTTCTGAAGTAAAAAAAAATCCTTTGATAAATGGTGTCCGCCATTCTTTATGTGGTGCAGACGATATCGGTTGGGCCGAGAAAATCTCTTGTAATTCGATTACTATGATCAGCAGACATATTGATTTACTCTACTAAGAGGCGGCAAGGCAAAAAGTTGAAAGAAAAGGGAACGAAACAAGTTGTAATTCAAAATTTCGGGAGGTAGTGGTGTTGGGCTAGACGTACACTGGAATGCACTTAGATCTAGAGTTGTAGTTTGATTGAGGTTTAAGTTGAAGGTTAAATTTTGTTTGATAAATTAGATAGTGTTTATGATTACGATAGTGGGGCGATGTGGTTGGATTGTAGAGCGTACGATCGCTAAAACGAAATTCTAGAGTTCGAATACTGGTTTCGTGTTAGTAGAACGTCCCTGAGTTCTCTCAGCACTGATGGGTACCTGACTTGCTATAGGGAAAGTTAAGGCATAGTGCTGACCACACTATCCCTTCGTATGCCGAGGTCACAGAAACATAATAACTATACACAGCATGCCCCATGGACCGTCAGGTTCGAAAAGGAACTTCACTACTATTCTACTACTATTATGATTGCGTTAAGTTTTTGATTAGAGTTTAGGTTTAAATTTTGGTTGATGAATTAGTTAAGTTCTATGGTTATATTTAGTATTATAGTTTTGTTTGCGATTAGTTTTAAATTTAGTTTGAGATTTAAAAAAAATAAGTTTAGGATTAGGTTTAGAGTTAAGTTTAGGTTTATTCCTAAGTTTGTTTATTATAAATCAATGCTTTTTTGAATATCGTGGTCTTTAAATGGCTCCACAAACGTGTTAAAAATTGTTACGCAATTACCTTAAATAAAACAAAAAAGAGGATTACAATTAAACCGAGTCAACTCTCTAAGATTGAAGATTAAATTTTCATGAATTCTCTTACAAACTCAACTCAGAAAAGTAAAAAAAAAAAAACCGAAATATCATAAACGAAATTTCTTTTTTTTCCCCCTCTCTTAAAGACGACAATGACGCAACAAAAAAAATCATATCCGGCTATATCTCGAGGCTATTCAAAGACAACCCAATAATGAAGGGCGTTTACAGAGATTCAAAAAGGAGCATTTCATAACACAGAACACATGCGGCGTTTTACTTTAGCGTCCGGTCAGGAACTATTTGGAGAATCCCTTAGGTTGGGATTTCCTTGAACGTTTTTAACCCCCCCCCCTCCATCCCCAAACCCCCTTGTATTTCTAAATCGCCACAAAAAGTCAGAAAATGACGTCAGAACTGCAACCTGCACGCCCCCTTCAAATTGTATTTTTCTCTATTGAAAGTACAGTATGCTTCTAATACATTAAATGACTGCACGGCATCTAGTATACAGACCATTTTTTATCACAAGATATACAAAAATAAAATGTATCTAAAGTGCTAAATAACTACAGTTCAATATAAGTTGCTTATACAAGCAAGTATTACGTCACCCCCGACCCCTCAGCACGTTCACGCCCCATCACCGGGACTAAATAGAATATATATATATATATATATATATATATATATATATATATATATATATATATATATATATATATATATATATATATACATATGTATATGTGCGTATATATATATATATATATATATATATATATATATATATATATATATATATATATATATATATATATATATATATATATATATATATATATATATATATATATATATATAATTTATAAAGAAAATACATATTTTGAACATGGTCATCCTTAAGTAATTTTAAGCGTCCGGTAGTTTCATCCCACACAAGCCCATCAGGCTTTTTAGTCGATTTAATTCACTACTCACCTCATCAAAAAAATAAAAGAATTAAATCCACATTTTCCTTGCGTAAGGTAATTTATGGACGACATCTTGTATTAATATGTAAACGCAACACATTTTAATATTCATAAGTACACAGCGTTTAGAAATATCAACCCCTAGTATATTCATATTTATAGTCAGTATTTGCATATTTGTTATTTTTTTTTACCCACAAACCATCTGGAAAAAATGAGCAGGTATGACGTCATCAAAAGCTGTGTTCTCCCGCCCATTGCTAATCCGATCAATGTTAATGGGAAATTTGTGTGGTGATATCGCCGGTCTACCGGCGCAACAAAGAATTTCGGTTCTGCCCAAACAGACGACATCGAGTTTTTGAAGGGGAATCAATTTCAAGCTAAAACTAAAGTGATGTACCAAATGAGGCTTCGGTTACGGCCCCTTTTTTTTTCTAGGTACGTGAACACCAATATGGCGGTTATGCGCTCTTTAA